TGAAAACTTTACATTGATAATGTAACACTTGTTATAATATTAGTATGAATGGAGTCCTTTATTCATCCCACAATGGGGAAAGTGTATTTTTGGTAAGTAGCTGGGTTCTATTTGCTTCAACAAGACACTATCAAGGTGCTTTGGCCCAGAAGCAATGTCTCTATTATAATATTAAGCAATGTCTCTGTCATTGGTGTGGAACCCCAGGGTTCACCTCCTGGGCGGTTAATACCTTTCAGTGGACTCACCAGCCGCAGGAAGGTTCAAGGGGGTTGGTACGGTGCAATGTGATTTGGGTGGCGATTGCTGCCCCCGCGACCCGGTAACGGATAAGTGGATGAAAATGGATGGATGGATGGATGGTTGGATGGATGAATGGATCAATAAAATGAGCTCTTCTGCTGCCATCTAGTGACTGGAGGCTTGTTTAACGTTAAAGCATGAATTATGAAAACTGAAGTCCACTCTCGCGACCCCACTATTTGAGAAGCACTGCGTTATGTGCTGATTCACTGTAAAGAGTCACATTCGACTAGGGCTATGCAATTTCTTGATTTACGATATGGTTTTTAACTCCGAATGATGCAAAAAAAATGTAATTGAAAAATACGATTATCACTTAAATGATTTGACACGCTGTTCTCTGCAAGTATACACTTATATTGTTTTTTTTATCCCAAACTTTACCACATGCACACTTCCATCCTTCTGGAGACTTAGGGATGTGTTCTGATATGGGTGTTTTACAAAGAATACGGTGGAACCTTGAGATACGAACATAATCTGTTCTGGCCCTTTTAATTATTATTGAGTTCTTACCTTCAAGACAGACAATACAGTAGTGGTTATTGGCAGCAAGTGCCAATGTCATCAACACAGAACACATATTCAGACCAACCCCCGAGGGCAAACTAACGTCAGGGTATATAAAATGTGTTCTGCAATTGCATGCGCTTACAAGCAGTCATCTGTCAGCATCCATGTTTGAAGGAACTGTATACATTAAAAAACAATAATGCACCATATGTTTTGTCCGTCTTTGTGTGAAGCTGATACACTTACCTGTGGTAGAGTGCAGACTCTCCAAGCTCCAATAGCGCGACAGGACCCCCTTCAGTGTGCCACCTAAGCTTCCTCCAACCATACATTTACCCACCCTGAGACCTTCGTCCACAATGTCTTTCATTCCTGCACTCGCGGTGGGGCTGCCACCATCGGAGTCAGACCCTGGTGACAGCCCGAGGCTGCCGGAGCTGCCTGCGGGCAGTGGCACGCCCCCCTCCGAGCATTGCTGCTGAGTCCGCATCCTGGTTTGGATGCACGACAAACGTTAAGCGGTAGAGTACGACTTGAACAGTGTAGGGGTGAGACGAAATGGGGAGCGGGGAGCGGGAAGGGGGGCAGGAGGGGAGCAGCGGCTTTATTTCCTAGACAGTGGAAGAATGCAGAAAAGGTGGAAGACGAGGTGGCAACATCGGCATAAGGAGACGAAGGAGGAGGTGTTGGCCCGCTGGCTGACGTCTGCCGCTGCTTATCTATTCGCCGAGGCACGCCGTCAACTTGCTGCTTCCTCCATCCAGAGTTATGGCAACACTGCACCTTTCCTCCTATCTAGTCAACGTTGTTTTGCTGTTGACAGACATCCATGTAGGTCCAGCCTCCTCCCTTGTTTTTCTGAGTCTCTGTGCCCCTCCCGACCGGCTTTTCTTATTTCTTCGTTTAACTCTCTCTGTCTCTCTCTCTCTTTCTCTCTCGTGACATGACTAGGGCTCCCTCAGGGGGGTTTCAGCTGCATGAGTATGTCATTTGGCTACCTGTGTTTAGAGCGCCCTCATAGTGCAGCATGCAACATTGATTAGATTTTCACATATGTACAGTACCTTCTTGCAATTTTACCATTAATGTTTTGTAAGTGTTTTTTTTTTTTTTTTTGTAACTGCAAAATGTAGTTATGAAACTCATTATGTCTTGGTGAAGATAGATAGACAGATAGATAGATGATAGATAGATAGATAGATAGATAGATAGATAGATAGATAGATAGATAGATAGATAGATAGATAGTATGTGCATGTGCATACACACATGCACATACACTGCTCCCCTTGGTGATGGGTTAAAAGCAGAGGCTGTTTTGTTGAAAAAAAATATATATATACACACCTACACATACCTACATATGCACATGTGTAAGCAAATA